AATGGCCAACCCTTCGCGCAAGAGGCACCACGAGAACAGGCAAGCTTGGAAGAATGTGGAGCGCACAAAGGTTGGGATGGCTGAGTTTGAGCTACGACTCAATGTTGACAACTATACTTGATGGTGCTCAAGGCAAACGAGGCGCTTGGTAAAGGATGAGACCATCCAAGGTGGAATGAGTTGCTCAACGACCAAAAGAGTTATGCAAAGCTCACAGAGGTGAGGGGAATTGCTAACTCGAAGAATTTGGTACTCATGCATGGGCTTGTATGCGGACGATGGAATGTTCGTGGCCATCCTAAGGCGACCGAAACTCGGCGCCATGGAGCATTGAAACTTTCTCTTCGGCATGTGAAGGATACGTCCGTAGGAGGCTGAAGTGTGCAACGAGTTCAGCATGTTGCTAGGCCTTGAGGGGTGCAGCGGGGACTGTATTGACGGGGAGTCGCAATCTAGCAAGTGCGTTTGCAGGAGGCAGAACAATGCATAGTTTGTTCAGCAGATCGGAGTAGTCCAAGGGGATGGTGGTCTCCGAAACGAAGAGAGATGTTGCTCCAATGGGACAGTTATCCAGGAGGGAAAAGTCCCGGCTCTCCAGAGGGAGAATCATGTGAGACGGACCTCACATATTGAGGAGGAGTACCTCAACAAACAACAACTCCACGAAGCTCGATGGACTGAGCAAGCGGCGAGGAGTCGTCGCATGATCTCGCTTGATAGAATGCATTGGTGGATGCATTGCGAGATCAAGTGGGCTAGCGACCCAAAGCAACTTAAATGAAGGCACACTTGGAGTCGATATGGAGATCGGACTCAAGGGAGGGTTGACCCGTGGAATGGTGGGCGCGACGGCCACCATCGACTCAATGCAAAAACGAGGAGCGGAGCAACTTGAGTGTAACTTGGCGAAGTACTCAAGCCGCATGAAGGGAGCCAGCATAGAAGTTAGAACATGGAGCAGAGGCACAGTGCTTTCCTTAGACAGAGGTCAAGGACATGAACTCTTGCAGAGGCAAGAGTAGGATCATGTTGTTCCATGGGTCCTTCTTTCTGCCGGAGCAGACTCATCTTGCATGGTACCAAAGACGAAGGGAGCTTCGCGGCACATGCACCTTATCTCGGAGAAACATTTGATGGAGGAACTAAGGCGACTCAATTTGCGGAGGTGAAATTGGGTTCAGAAGGCCTTAGCACGGGGCAAGAGGACTTAGAGGTGGGTACTCTTGAAGAATATGCCACAGTGTTGCCATTCAAGTTGCCATGAAGGAAGCGGTGTGCAGCGGAGATTGTGCTGGTAGGGTCAGAGGCCCAGGATCCAGACAATGGTGCACAAATTACAGTGAAGTCGGTGGACTTCGGGAGCTACTAGGCGACGGACTGTTCTAGAGCGGTGCTTCATCTAGGTGTGACCCAAGAGTGGGTGGATGAAGGTCGATTGCCAAAGGAGCGAACAAAATCGAAGGTGGACGAGACCCTGCGATGTATTGGCAGAGGCCACACATGGAGGGTTCACAATTCGAGTTTATTCCACAAGGATCAGAATGCAATGGAGATGTCACCAGGAGGCGACATGGTGCAGCGGATCGTGGTGGAACAGTTCGTGGCAATGCGATACACACGACCTAGTCCTGGGAGGGACTAGATCATATGGAGGTATGATCGGGAGCTACTGGGAGCTCCACTTCGGTGAACAACACGACGGCAAGAAGGGCTATGGATTCAAGGATTGAAGGCCATGGTACCGCAGAGGCGGGTCTTCCGTGCGTGCATCGAATTTTGCGGCGGATGAAAACCTTGGTCATCAGCATATGGGAGCTGGGTTCCACCAAGGGAAAAGTTCGAATGCAAGTACCAGTGAGTTCCATGGGAGGAACTTGATCATGCAGAGGTAATATCGAAGCAGCTGGAGAGTTGGACTGCTCCAGAGCTCATATTCGCTTAAGGGAGCCCGGCAAGTCAGAGGACAAGGCCGAGTAAGCGAACGTTGCTACCAAGGAAGCTAAGGAGAACAGAATCGGTGCAAACCCTACAACGTGATGGCAGAGGCCATGCATGGGAGTTGCAGTCTGTCTTTCCATCGACCAAACAGACTGCTTGGAGAACACAGAGGTGTTGAAGCAGGGGGTCGAAAGGGGCGAGGAAGCGACGACGAGTCCAGAGGGACTTAGCTACCCAAAGTCAAGCAATCAGTTAGAATGAAGGTGAACTCGGAGGAGTGTCACAGAGGCATATCTATTGATTGTGAAGAAAAGGGATGTAGATGCGAGGCGACGGATAGTAGTGCCATGGGCATGGCAGCGCCATGGTACCGCAGAGGCGGGACTTCCGTGAAAGTCATTGATCCCTTGCTCTCATGGAGGGAGAGCGCTTGGTCGTGAAAGGGGCCGAGGAGGTGGAGCATGCAGAGGCAATCTCCAAGTACTGAGACAAGGCTGAAGGGCAGAGGCCGAGGAACTTCGTAAGACCGGTGTCAATGAGCTTCTCATCAAGATAGCCGAAAGTGAAAGACTTCGGGTCATGCAAGAGTGCATAACCAAGGAATGAAGCAGGCAGTACGCGGTACTGTACCTTTGCTACTCAGTGGAGTAGGCGGCAGGGTTGATGGAGAAGACGGTACAATCCTAGAGGCGACCAAACCTATGAGAGAATTACTCCAAGTTGGGGTGAAAACTTCCTGCATTCCAGAAGTTCAATGGCATTGAGAAGGTGAATCATAGTAACTAACTCAACGCAAGGAGTGCAAACACTTCAAGTGCTTCAGAAGTGTGAGCAAAGAGCAGGCGAAGGCCAGTAACCAGCTCGATGCATGAAGTACAACCTCGAGGAGGCGGGCAAAGTCAAGTAACTTTTGCCTTCTCAACTCTCAAGAGAATAGGCGAAACCGAGTACCCCAATTCTCTTATCTATCCAGCAGAGGAGCTCTGCACAAGTTCAAAGACCCTTCGAAGATAATGAAAGACAATAGTTGTCAAATCCTCACCAACGGTGATCAGTGCTACTAAGAGTAGATTGTCCGCTTCATTTCCCAACGAAATGCCAATCGAAAGCGGAAGTGATGCGAACCTACTTGGATATGACAACTAAGTGAAAGAAGAGTCAATGAGCAAATTTTGTGGAGGAAGGACCCAAAACTTCAGAAGTTTGCGAGATGATGCTCGTTAAAGCTCCAACAAGCATCCACCCAGTTCAAGCAGCATGAGGCATTTGAGAGACTGGCGCAGTAAGGATGGTCTTTTCCTTCATCTGGGAGGATCCGCAGGAATCAACAAGGATCAACGCAACTCAACCAACCCCACACCAGAGTTAGAGTCATTGGTGAGTTGAAGCAGCATGGCGGATCAAAGGTTCGACTACTCAAAAACAGCAGCGGAGAGCAGCTAGGAGCCAAGAGGCGCATTGTAGCTAGAGCAAAAGATTGAAGACTTAGCAAAGGCGAGGAGTTGCAGTGTTGACAAAGGCTTCAACGAGGACGTCGAAGGAATAAGTGGGGGAGAATGTCACGGACAAACTTCTAAACAAGGTGTTTGATGTAATGCTTATGTATGTCCGTGTCTTTTGGCATGTTCATGCCTTGTACAGCATGTAGAGGGGCGGCCGAAGGCTTAATAGTCCATTTTAGTTGGGTTGGTGGCCTCTTTAGGCTTGTAAATAAAGGTTGTGTCATGTGGACATGTGCGAGAGATTTTCGGTCTGTAATAGACCATTTTACCCTTTGTTGTGCCACTGTTCATAGCTTGTAAAGTCTGTTTGTAATTTGCATTGTCTATGAAGTGTTTTTCGGAGATGTTTGCTTGTGGATCCCGATTGAGGCGTTCTCTCTAACCCGTTCTCTCTTTTGGTGGTCCTAAGGGACAATGGGAGACTTCGGGGAGGCTGACCCTTGCGGACGGACACGCAAGGGTGCCGCACGACTTAGGCAAAACCAGCTAAGTCCGTGACAATACGTGGCAGTGTACGTGGCATATTGATGCATGCATCGATATGCCAACATGGCTTGGATCGTGCAGATCTAGGTTTTGGTTGGTTGAAAGCAGCCTAAAGTATGCCGTGATACATGTTGGTATATTGAGTGTTAATACGATGGCATAGATGAAACCTGTACCGGTCTAACCATGGAACGACACATATATGACACCTGAAATGTCAATTATTGAAAATATAATATCAACATCCTCAGGTTGAGGCAATCAGGTTTTGGTTGGTTGAAAGCAGCCTAAAGTATGCTGTGATACATGCCGGTATATTGAGTGTTAATACGATGGCATAGATGAAACCTGTCCCGGTCTAACCATGGAACGGCACAGATCTGACACCTGAAATGTCAATTATTGAAAATATAATATCATCCTTAGGTTGAGGCAATCAGACAAGGTAAAAATAACAGAATTGGTATTCTTTGGGATATCTAGAAGACTAGAACAACAAGTAATTATCCTGAATACATATTTCAGATATTAAACAGCCGACAGAAGCAGTTGATTAATTCAGAATTAGTTTTAAAAGAATATTTTTAGCATGCTAAATGTTCTTAATTGCTATGCTATGTAAGAAAAATCTATAAAATTTTGAGCTACATTGAGAATTCCAAAATGAAAGGCGAAAACCTAGTAAAGAGAAAATAGGAATTAATTTGTCAAAGATCAAACTCTAAATTCTTCACATATCATTTATACTTGTTTCCTAACAGAACATTTAAAAGTGCAAATCATGATCAAATTCCAATATTCATAGTAAGAAACAGTCTCTTCATGACCACTGGAAGACAATGTATGAATTAGAGAAGGAAAACAATCTTCCAAAAGGAATCAAAGAAGGAAAAAAACAAATAGGAGCAGGTGGATACCTTAACTACTAGGCCAGAAGAGTGCAGCAAAGAGAACAATCTAAATTTAAAAGTGCATTAATATGAGGTTTTTGAACAATTGGAAGCTGCAAATAGCTAGTTTTTCTAGTTTGCAGGTGATTTAAGTAGTTTTAAACAGAAAAATAATGCTCCCTACCTTCACACGCTCTAGGATTGTTGTCCTGTGCCTCTGCACTGCTTGTGACTCTATGGTGACAGCCTTCATCAGCATGTTGAGTGCAACATATCTAAAGGAAAATGGTAAAAGTAATTTATAAATGATACCATCTATAGAGACGATTAAAAAAAAAAATTTAAATTAGAGAATATGTAGCTAACTATCCCTTAATGCAAGTACATCGAACAAAAACAGATTGACACAAATTGCTCTGAAGAAATAATGAAGATTTCTCTGAAGATATAAATGGTAGATATAAGAGCAAAAGATCATTCATGAAAGAAAATGTTGATATTTAGATGACTCACAGAAATTGAATTTTTAATCTAAAAATAACAAAGAATATAAATGTGAATAATTTTACATAGGGTTCTTAATTTCAATTTATACCACCCAGTATAAGCAGTATGTACCGGTCCGAGAGGATACCGGTACGCAGACCACCCTCTACCCAGTGGTACTAGTGTTTTCGTATCGAGCGATATGAGGTCTGTGCCGGGTAGTAACAATCAAAATCCGATCGTTGCCGAGTGTACCGATCGATATGCCCCAGATTTCGACCCGATATTTTTTGACTAGTACCTCTAGATATTTTTTTAGGTTTTTCAGTTCTTTTTGGGCTTACCATCAGTATGCCTCGATATACTATCGATACGCCTCGGTACGTACCGTACTGAGTAGGACTCAGTGCACAAGTACGGACCGAAATTGAGAACCTTGATTTTACATTTAACAAATGTAGGAAAAAGGCCACTTTTTACAAACACTAACATGGAGTATGTGTATGGAGTCATTCCACATAATATTAGTCATGAATGAAAATCTTGGTCCAATACCAATACCAGTCATAAGTGGAGGGGCACAATAATGGTATTGCACAACATAGTGACATTCAATATTGGTTAGTGCTAGTCTTCACCACCCAAATTAAAGAAAAGAGTAGGGAACAAGATGTATAGCAATCGGAGGTAGAGATCGCAGGTACATGGACAAAGAGGGAATGGAGGAGAAGGCAACAACAAAGGTGAAAAAGAATGTAAAGTTGAAGAAAGACAAAGGAGAGGAGAGGAGGTGACAGAGGAGAGAGAATAAAGAGCTAAGTAAGTTCAATAGAAAATATATATTTGGCAAAACCAATACCAAATGATAATATCGGGCATTGATTAAAGTCATGATCCGGTATTGATATGGTCCTTGGACATAGCTATATGCTACTCTACCATGTGTAGGTATGGGCTGCTACTTACTAGTGATCAAACTAGCTAGTATTGATCAGATTTATTTAAAGGAGACCCTAAACCTAAATATGTCTAACTAATTAATATGAAGTTATGAGGGCAGGCCTTGGTACAAAGACAAGGTTGCTCCTTTGCAACTTGGGATATCAAGGTTCAAGTCACGAAAGCAGCCTCTTTAATTATTTAAAGATAAGGATACGTACATTGACATTCCCCAAACCCTACATTGGTAGGAACCTCGTACACTAGTATGCCCTTTTAATCAATATGAAGTTATGAACCTTAAATTTTGACTAAATATAACCTAAATGATAAATCAAACCATGTTTTTACTTTTTACCATGAACTACAAAACATATATGAAGAAAACATGTATAAAATCATGTAAGTGTCCTATACTTAATACATTAAAGTAAGGTATGCAATACCATACCATACTGATGTTTCGAGGTTGGCTCGGTACGGTACGGTATCGTGTACCAAGCGGTACGCTAGGGTATACCGAGCGGTACGCCTAATTTAGGTGTAAAACCCTTCGAAAATACTTGAAAATAAAAAAAAAAGTTAGGATAGGGTTTTTAAGTTAGAAATAAATATAGTAATAGCATAAGTTTAGCAAAATCAATGTAAATTAGGTAAGAATAGTATCACATATCTTTTTCGGGCTTTGAAAAATATCTTGTGCAAGGTTCATATTTCGGTCCATTACGGATTGTCCTTATGTAAATATTGAAATATCTACAGAAAAATCATTTGAACAGGAGAGCACAAATGTGAGAAAAAAAGAGTTTGTAGAGTTTGAGAGAGTATGAGAATGTAATGGTGTGTCCTTTTGTAGAGTTTAGGAGAGCACAAATATGAGAAAAAAAGAGTTTGAGATAGTTTAAGAGAGTACGAGAATATAATGGAGTGAAATAAAGGAGACGAAGGGTTTAAATACTATGAGAAATGGCTCCAACGGTCAATTTGATCGTTGAAGCACTATAGCACTGTTACAGTGCGGTAACGGTCGAAATCGACCGTTACCGAGTTGTGTCTGGCGGTAACGATCAAAATTTCGACCGTTACCGCCCGATATTACCCCATATCGTCCGATATGGGGCGCTTTTAAACGTTCCGCTCGGTAGCGGGCGATCCGCATACCGGTATGCCGTCGGACCGGTACGTACCGCCCGTACCGGACGGTACCATTCGAAATTGCATACCTTGATAAATCACATATGACAAGCAATGTCATACCTTATAACTAGCCTACTACTACCAAAATGGTTATCATGTCTAAATGGGATATGATTTCAAATCCTTATTGTGACTCGATTGTTTATCAATATTATAATTTTAAAAACCCATGAAGATGCTTTTATGGCATCTAATAGTGGTAAATTATAAAATATAGACGAAACAAAGTAGCAACAGTGTGGTCTCTTTATCAATAATCATCCATATGGTAGTAGGCTCTTAGGACCAAGTTATACAGTTTCGAATTATACCACCCGATACGGGTGGTACGTACCGGTCCGACAGTATACCGGTACGTAGACAACCCACTACCGAGCGGAATGCTTAAAAGCGCCACATATCAGACGATACGAGGTTATATCGAGCGGTAATGATCGAAATTTCGACCGTTACCACCCGACACAACTCGGTCACGGTCGATTTCGACCGTTATCGCTCGATAATAGTGCTCCAATAGTTAAATTGACCATCGGAGCCCTTTCTCATAGGTTTTTAAACCCTTCTGTTCCCCTATTTCACTCCATTTCATTCTTATACTCTCTTAAACTATATCAAACTCTTTTTTCTCACATTTGTGCTCTCCTAAACTCTACAAAACAACGATTTGTAAATTGAATCGAGGCTAATTTGGGAAGATTAAGAGAAAGAAATTTCTAATCAAGAGATATGTATTCTCTTTCTTTAATTAGAGAGTAATTAAGATCTTTAATATTATGATTAGTATGTTTAATATTGATTAATTCGAAATTAGATACTTAATAGGTCAAATATTTATATTTCATACATATTAAATATTGAAAGATATTTATGATAGTAAAATAAGTTTAATTAGGTTTTATTAAAGTTATTGAATGCTGCGAGTATTCATTTTAATAATGATTTAATCAAAATTTGATCAATTTTATGTCAATTCAATGTGTTTAATACCTATTAGGGTGTTTGTCATGTTTATTGTGTTGAAAGAAAAGTAATTAGTGAGTAATTAACTATGTTAATCATGTAATTAGTGTATCTAATGATGATTTCATCGTAATTTGAACTAATATTGGATCAAAATTAAGTATTTAATACTTCTTTTATGTGTTTGACATATATATAATGGTAAAATAGGTTTAATTAGGTTTTATTAAAGTTATTTAATGCTGCGATTAGTCATTTCAATGATAATTTAATCAAAATTTGATCGATTTTAGGTCAATTTAATGTCTTTAATACCTATTAGGGTGTTTGACATATTTATAGTATTGAAAGAGAAGTAATTAATGGGTAATTAACTATGGTAATCACGTGATTAGTGTATCTAATGATAATTTTATTAGACCCATATTGGATCAAAATTATGTATTTAATCTTTCTTTTATATATGTAACATATTTATGATGATAAAATATGATTAGTTATGTTTTAATAAAATTATTTAATGTTGCGATTAATGAATTTTGATCGATATTTGGTCAATTCAATATGTTTATACTTTATAGCTTATTTGATTTAAATTTAGTAGGATTATGGCACCAAAGGAACAGCCACATGATGATACATAGGTTCATGCCCGAAAGATAGATGAGAATCGTCATCATTGGCAATGTATTTATTATAACTACATTAGCAAAGGTGGAGGAATAACTCGAATGAAAATGCATTTGGTTGGCGGGTATCCTGATGTTGCAAAATGCAAGAAGGTTCCGACGGAGATCTGTAAATTATTTTAAAGCAAGTTACAACAAGCAAAGGAAGATACATTAAAAAAGAAGGCAAGAGTTGAGGAAGAATATTATAGGGCTACGTAGGAACTAGTTTATGATCAGTATGAGGGTTGTGGCAATCAAGTCGACCCAAATCTCACAGTTGGGATTTATGCATCATTGGAGCATCAGTATACGGTCGATGAAGCAATGAGGCATCGACGACTTGACTCACAATTGGAGCATGGCAGTGGTAGTGGAATCCAAAGGTCGGCCAGCATGAGACAGCCAATTGCTCCTTCTCAATTAGGCTGAACTAGTAGCATGAGGTATGGTGGACTCCGTGGTTTTATGAGAGGTCTTAGCAGGAGGTCCACACCAGATATTTTTTATATTGATCCGCAAGCCTATCCCCCATAAACAACGAAACAAACACAGATTAACGATGCATACATAAAAGAAAAAAAACGAGATATTGGGAAGGCAATCTCAAAATGGTTCAACTTCTACAGGATTCTAGTTAACACAGCCCAAGGTCCACATTATCATAACATGGTCTCTTCTATTTAAAAGTCTAGCACGGGGATCCAACCTCCAACACCAAGGGAGATTTACGGCGTGTACTTAGATGAGGAGGTGGCAGAATTGAAGGATTGGATCAAATCCTTCAAGAGGCAATGGGACGAATATGAGATGACACTAATGTGTGACAGTTGGACAGGACCAACAAGAATGAGTATTATCAACTTTCTTGTTTATTGCAACAGAAGAGTGGTGTTTCATAAGTCAGTTAATGCTTTTGAAAAGATCCAATATGCAAACTACATTGAAAGCTTGATGGATACTATAGTAGAGGAGATCAGACCACAGTATGTTGTCCAAATAATAATCGACAATGGAACAAATTTCAAGAAAGCTGGTTTGCAATTAATAGAAAAAAAAACTTTGTTTTGGACTCCATGTGCAGCTTATTGCATAGATTTAATGCTGAAGGATATTGGTGAGCTGGACACGGTCAAGAATTGTGTAACTCGAGCACAATCAATTACAAAGTTTATATATAATCATCAATGGGTCCACGCTTTAATGCAAAAGTATGTAAACAATGAGAAACTCCGACCTAGAATTACTCGGTTTACTACCAATTTTATTGCATTAAAGTCATTACAGCAAAAAAGACATGGCTTGAAGGCAATGTTCACCTCACAAGAGTGGTCTGATTCCAGATATTCGAGATTGAGTGATGGAAAGAAGATAGAAAAGTTCATTCTTTCCTCTAGATTTTGGGAGACCACGACAAAAATCATAAAAAGTGTGGACAAGCATCCACAGATGTTGCATCTTAAATATATGTTGATTTCAGCAAGAGCGGAGGTCAGGAAAGCATTCAAAGATGATTTTAAGGCCAACCAATACGTACGGATCATTGATCATCGAACCGAAGTTCATATGGATCAAGATATCCATAATGCAGGTAAATTTATATTCAAAATAATTTAATTTATTATTTTTAGATAATAAAAAATCATACTAACAAAATTATGTCTTGTAGCGTATTATCTAAACCCGATAATTCAATATCGGTATACTTTCGGAACACAAAATAATTTACTAATGACACTACGAAATGTTATATATCGGCTCTTGCCAAACACTACTGATGTAGCCGATGCTCTTATAAAGGGTCGATTATTTCGAGAAACAGTTGGTTCATTCTCCGACGTTGTGGCTGTATCATGTCGTTACACTATGGATCCTGATGAGGAAAAGTTACACATATTGATTATGAATTATATTTAATGTTAATTATTTGTTATACTAATAAAATCTTATTTATTTTTTTTTGTAGTCGAGTGGTGACTATAATTTAGAGGGGATACACCACATTTAAGGAAGGTTGTCGTTCGTATACTTTCACATACGACAACATGTAGTGGTTGCGAACGTAATTGGTCAACGTTTGCATCGATTCACACGAAGGTCCTCAACAAACTCTCCTACAGACAGTTAGAGAAACTGGTATATGTCCATTATAACATACGGCTAAGATTGCGATGTGCTAAGCTGGATCGGGAGCCAAAGGAACCAAATATTGATCCCATCGACCTCCAATTCTACAACGAAGATTTAGAGCCATTGTTAGATTGGGTTGAAGTAGTAGAGAACCAAGAGGATCCTCTACTTGATGAGGATTGGTCCTCAGCGTCCTTCATGTTTTATCACCGAGACAATAAAAGAAAAAGAAGCATAACCCCAACAGATGGAAAATGCCCCTCAATCACAACGTGGCAGGAGTCAAACAACATCGAGTCAAACTACTCGAAGAACTACAGACACCCAACGGTCATAATCGTCAACCCAGCATGCAAAGGCAAAGGGGAAGGCAGTAGCATCAGTTGCATCATTGGAAAGAATCGAGTCGGGCGATGAGACACCTTCACAATCACATTCAACAACTCGCTCAGTCCAAAGACATGATAGTAACACGGACAGTAGTGCCTCGACGGATGATGGCGGTGATGTCGGGCAGTCGTTGGTCTCATCTACACAACTTGAAGGTGGTGCATGGACTGAGGAGCAATATTTTATACATGCCACCCAAGATTCAGATCATGAAACTCGACAAGGTACTGGTCAAGTTTATGTGCGGAAGGGGAAGGGGAAGGTAATGGATGAATTTGAGAAGATGCAATAAAGCCTATATGATGTAGACACAGAAAGAAGCACATCGTACTATGGAGAATTATATGGGCAACAGTAGTACGGTGATAGTTGGTGATCCTTCTATAAGCGACAATATGATACAGAACAACAAATCAGTAGCGAAAGTAGAAGCTCTGACAATCACCAATACATGCCTCAGGAGCTGACTCGGACAAATGTGATTCATGACGATCAGCCTACGATCATCACCACATTGATGCATCAATAGCATACGGCGTATCAATACACTATGTCGTGGGATTAATTTTATGATTGGGTCCAACAAACATATTATATTGATATGCAGATGTATAGGATCGAGGATCCCGATCCACCATCCGTGGAGGCCTGTCGTTCGTTTTGACGGTAGAATCAACTATCAGGTATATCTACATATGTGATTATTTATTATATTTGAATTTTAGAATTTATATTGTAACAAAATAGTCTAACAATTCAAATGATTTTTCTGTATATATTTTAATATTTACATAAGAGCAATCCCTAACGGACTGAAATACGAACCTTGTACAGGACTATTCATCAAAGCTCGAAAAAGATATATGATACTATTCTTACCTAATTTACATTGATTTTGCTAAACTTATACTATTACTGTATTTATTTCTAACTTAAAAACCCTGTCCTAACTTTTTTTTATTTTCAGGTATTTTCATAGGGTTTTACACCTAAATTAGGTGTACCACTCAGTACGCCCTAGCGTACCGCTCGGTACACAGTACCATATTGTACCGAGCTAATCTCGAAACACCAGTACGGTACGAGATTTCAATCCTTGCATAAGACAAATATAGTCATAGTAAATAGCAAGTACAACTGTGTCAGTTATAGTGCAGTAGAATTGCAGTTGTCATCTTAAGGTTTAAACTTTAAAATATTGTCATACCAATCAATATGGGTCAAGTATTCATTGGTTGACATGGTCAACTAAGACATGATCCAAGCAATTTAATCTGGTTCAATCTGGCCTAGGCCATATTACTTGATAAACTCATCATATCATGTTTACCATGCAATAAGCAGATCAATACTAAACTGTACTGGACAATAAGTTTAGCTCCCACTATGATTACCAATTTTTTATAATTATCACTCAATTTTTTTATTTTTCTTCTTTCTTTCTGTCACATGAACCCTCTCTCTCGTCCTTTCCCTACTGACCAAGTCATAATAGCCTTTTCTTGTTCATCTCCTCCTTTACCTCTACCTCGGCCTCCTCCTCCTTTGTCCCTTCTCCTTCCCTCGTCTCGCTCTCTCTCTCTCTCTCTCTCTCACACACACACACACACATACATTGGTATGTCGATCTGTACCGGTACCTTACGAGTCTGTTGCCAACTCATATTGGCTCCTGAACGAAATTAATCCATCGTCATCACTATCTTTGTGTCATGAAACATATGAAGTATCAAATCCAGAGAAGGCTGCAAAATAGGATGAAGCACAATCACTCGATATGAACAAGTAATGTACATATATTGGTAACATGTTTCTGAATACTAGACACTGTTGCTTAATCCTAAGAATCTCTAGCTACATGTGCAACAATGTGGTTGAAATTGAATCATTTTGCAATCATATTTTTGTATCCCCATTTTTTAATATATTTTGCAATCTTTAGGGGAAGTCATTGGATCAAGATTGAAAACAATTGGAGTTGGCATTCTACCATGTAACTAAGGAAACCCATATGCCCCTCGGAGCTGCCTTTATCTAGTCCGGTGTAACATTGGGCTGCCTCAAATTGGCACTCATACCCAACCCATGTGCACTGCAGCCACTAGGCTACCTCATCATGGAAGACCCATTGAACTCATATGATTCAACACCACTATCATTATCATGCATATATTGGGAGGAACCACCAAACTCATATCAGTGTTCATGACCCCGTTCAAAAATTGATGCATCAATGATATATTATAGATCCCAGTTGCAAGCTTGGAGTCCTCGTGCACATTGACTTCATGATCGTTGCCCATGATAGATAAATATCTCAGATGCATGCTTGTCAAGGTCCTCCCTCTATACTTTCTATTATAGCCTAGGGACTTATCCAAGCAACAAACTAGAAGCTTGTCTATCTCTTGGGTTCCTTAATACCTTTGTTGTCCACATAAAATCCATGGACTATCAATTAGGTGTTTCCTCCACCTTAATCAACATAGTTGCAGCGAAAGCAGTATCAATGATGGTGGCGTTCCGAACGACAGTTGTGCTGCCACATTGAATCAATATTCTAATCTTCTGCATCATTTCATAAGAATATTAACAAACTCATTAGATTCACAATTTTATAATTTACACTTGATATTGGAATTATGGCCTATATTTAATTTAAATTTATGGAAACCTAGACTACATATACAAGTATCTAACCTAAATCTCTGAAATATAAGTTGGATCCACATGGATTTCGATCGGATCCATATGGAACTTGGCCAGATTCATGGATCCGCATGATATATGGATGCACCCCAGGTATGAAAATGTACTCCTAGGAAGCATCAGCAGTACATATTATTATCTGTTCCATGATTCCAAGAAATACTGGATCATTTCAATTTTTTAGTATCAATTTAAAGGCGCTAAGTTCTCTTGGAGCGCTGGCATAAGGTGCAAGGTGAGGCGCATGCCTCACTGAAATATGCCCTGTTAATATATTAATTTTTTTGTAGAATCAATTAAAATATAAAATGAACAAACACTTGCCAATCTAACAAAGGAGTAAAATTCAAACAGAAGAACAGAGAAAAAGAAGTTTTCCTTTTATATAAGAAAGAGTACCAACAAGATGAATAAATAGCATAAATACCAAAAGTCTAGAAAGCAGAATTTAAAAGTGAAAAGGGAAACAGAGAAGAATCTTGATAATCACTATGTATCATATTTGAGCATATTTGGATTTTCAGCATTAATAATTAATTGCTTGGTAAAATGTTCGCTACAGATCACCAGGAACTGATAGCATAGATAGTTCTAACTTCTAACAATTAATTCTGTTTTACTGAAAGAAATTAATTATATATGACCTGATGTTGTTGTCATGATTTGACAAGAATCTACCCAGAATATTAACTGCAAGCACACGGAGACCACTGGTAGCTTCTATACCCATTATCGTTTCAACACATTCATATAGTACAGCATTTCCAGCATTTTTCTTTGATTCAGTTTTTGATGCAACCTACAAAAATGTATAGAATGAACAAAAAAAATAAGATTTTGAATTTGATAACATCTCAGATCTGATATCGAATCAAACGATGAATTAAGAACTCACAACCACAAATTATTACTACTTATTTTAGTTTGAGCAGAAGGAAGATCTTGTGAGCAAAGCAAACGACCTTTTACACCGTAAGAACTATAAACAGAAGAAAGAAGTAAAGCAACACATATATCATGTGTCGGTTGACCAGGTAAAAACTGGACCAGTACCAGCCCAGCTGGCACAACCAATATGGATTCAGTGCCCAAGATTATAAACCTTGGTCTCAATAGATAATGGCTAATCTTCTAAACAGAAAACCAAATTAATTTAGTTTATCATATAAGTGGGTGGTCTTTTGCAAATTTCATAAGTTGTTATATGAACATCTATTACAACCCTGCATTAGTTACTAAATGAGAAGAAATGTCAAAAATAAAAAAAGAGGCTTGGTTCGGTTGAAGATTCTAAAGAAAAAATTAGGGAGATAAGTTTTGCATTGGTTATAGATTTCTTCCTTAAAAGGAAGTTTCTTCTTGATTCAAGAATCTATAAAAGGAAAGCCTATCAATCAAATATTTCTTCAAGGAAGATGATTTGTCAAAGAAATATGAAAATACGTCTTCCTTGGAGAAGGAAAGATGGAACGATTGGTATGTTTTAATTTATAATAAATAATTGTTATAGCATTATTTTTATTTTTTAATTTACTCTTCTTCTTCTACTTTGGAGTCCAAAAGGGGGAAAGAGGAACTAAACTAGGACAGGTATCAGTGAGTAAATATATGATAAATAGTTTCTCTTTCCCACATTATATATGTAAGTGGTGTCAGCCAAATTCTCTTTCTTGATGGCATGGTTCCATCATTTCCATGTGAGACGTGCAGAAAAATGATATCTTATCCCTTGGAGCAATTTTTTGAGCCACAGTGAGTCTGATTAATTTTTTTAATCTTTATCATTCACCATTAAATATTTCCATTCACATCATGAACTTTTCCTTTGCCACATCTTATTCTTCCTTTAATCACCCTTTTCCCAAAGTTTCAATAGCTCATTAACTTAATTTCTTTATGATAATAAAAACAATTTTAAATATCTCTCTTTTTCATGTACACTAGCACCAAAAAATTTCTCTCTATACAATTGTCAAATTTTCAATTCAAAAATTTTGTGAAATATACTATTCAAAGTTTTAAACAAACTACTTATATCAAAATTTACCTATCTTTAACCTTTTTAAAGATTCCTTTACCTCATTTCAACAAGTTTTATAAAAAAATTCTATGATTTCTAAATTTACCATTATTTCATATCTTCAAAGCTAATTAAATATAGAATGTTCTTGAAATAACTAATTTCTCTCGCTTTCCTTAAATCTCCATATCCTTAGCAGGAACATTTTGACTATATGAAAGTTATTACAAAATATGGAGAAATTATATTTACAAATTGTTCCATTTTTGGCATCCCTCCTCCATCTTTAGCCAATGTGGGTGATGCTTTGGGTTCTCAATGTTCTAGAGAACCTCCACTGCCAAGGAACCATGGCAAATAAAAGCATTGCACTCCCATATCCTAGCCCATCACAATAAAAATTCCTCAAGCACACTAACTATAGGATCATGTATATTGCCACTGACTACTCTCACCTTTGCTCCATTAGGAATATTAGATGTGGCAAAGGAAAAAGCTTTTGAATCAGTGCCTTCGTTCAACAAATTATCTAAGGCAGATAAATAATGAACAGATTTTTATTTTTGTGAAGGAACAGAAAATAAAATAAAATTTGGGCATGGACTTCCACTTATAAATGGAGCCCATCTAGAAAACCCGAGTAATGTTCCACAAAGGAAAAGCATCAAATTTCTTAAAAAAAGAGACGAGGAAGACAACTCATATGATGTGTTTTTCTTCTCTTCTGTATATGATTTTTAGTTCTTAACAAGCTCTAGTTGGCCAAGTTGAGTTTGGCCTTGCTCAACACAAGTCATGGTGTAACTGAGCATAAGCCAAGCCAAGCCCAGATAATGTCAAATATAAAAGATACCTAGCTACATCAGACTCGAGGAATAAAAGCCCTAGATTCAACTGACCACTGAATCCCAATTGGCACAATTTGTACAAGTAAATTAAACAAAATATTGGACCAAAGTCATCTTCAAACATCATAGAACAAGAATGTTAAAATTTATTAAAACTTAGCAATTAAGATTTCACATACCAGTATATTACAGCCATTAAGGGGAGAAACAAAGGAAAGGAAAAGCAACAACATTATTGAGGTGCAACGGCCACATATTTGTGAGAAAATCTGCTCATCCTGAGTTTCATCATTGATCATAGTACTTGGACTGCATGCAATTCAAGAAGACTACAACAAAAATTAATGGCAAACACACTACTGTTAGGATCCAACTCAACTGCATTGCAAAATTCATGTTTAATTTCAAGTAGGTTTAACCTCATTGCACGAGGGAACCAAATCAGGTTCACGTGCCTAACAGACACATCTGTGGAAAAAATATGATTGCCTTGACTTAATATTCTCTGACTCTGTGATTTATATCTAACATCATATATGACGGAAATGTAAAGTTACAAAGATATCATGGAGGAACAAACAGATAAGATATAGTTGATAAAAACAAACATGAACAATGATATTACCATGCTAATGCTCAAGTACAAGCGAATATGCAATTACATAGTCCCAGCTCTAGTATATAGCTCAGAGAAATAAACTATACCCTAAAAGTAAGATGGAAGACATAACTCCAAACTGTCTCCACAGTTTGGGAGACCAAAGAAAAGCTATACATAAGTTTGTGGGTTTTCATGGACTATGCCTCATGCTACAGCCAAGAAACTTTTTATACAAATACAGTACATCTCACGAGAGCATGCATGTTACTTGTTTCATAATAGTTGGACAAGAACAATAATTATTAAAAAATAAAAAATATACAAGGAAACTCACCTGAGCAAGAATGTCAATCATATATTCACTAGAATCAGCATCTCCCTGACCCAATATCCGCATTAGCTTAAGGACTCTGATATGCAGAAAAGGATCGACAGTCCCAGCAATGTCATACTCAAGCGAATATGAACTGTTTGAGATGTCCTTCAATATACGAATCAATCTCTCTATGCAGGTCTATGATAAAGATGGAAACCATTTCATATCAAGAATTTCAATAAAGGTTTACTATATGGTTAAAATTTGTACTCTAAAAGCATCAAGATAAAAATCAATATCAATAATCCACTTAATCCAAAACAACAAACCCCTGAGGACAAAGTCTCAGATATGATGGTCTAATTCTAAAACACTGTAAATTCCACAATCTAGCACCAAGAAAGTTCAAAATAATTCGGGTGAAAAGAATAGTTGGCTAAAGTGACAAGCTGTAGTATTCGAAATAAAAATTTCTTCTAGAAAGTGAAAAATTCTACCACATTTTAGAAGCAAAAGTATGAAACAAAATGGAAGGGTACTGTAAAAAGCTAGGTGATGTGAGAGTATCCCACCTCTTTGTTTGCTCAACCCCATAACATGATTTGGGAGTAAGTTAGTACCATACTGACACAACACAATCCTGCTGTGCATGCAAGTCAGTAAGCCTTGTACTGGCTGGCATAAGCCAGCACCTCCAATGCTGGTCAGCATGATGCTTTTTTTTTTTTTGGTCACATTATGTTTTTTTACCCATGCCAATAAGGTATCGATTATAGGTCACATGTCAGGAATGGATTGGCATGACAAGTAGGAATACCTTTCTAGAATACAATGATTTAAAAAGGCGCTCGGGCGCTCGCCTAAGCGCTCGGGCGAAGCGTGGCGAGGCCCGAGCGCCTCGCTTCACTTCCAGGCGGCGTGCTTCAAAGAGGCGCTCGCCCGAGCCCAGGCGCTGGGCGCTTCGGGCGAGCACCTGGGTTAAATCAGGCGACCGAACCAATGTTTTAGGTCTAGTTCGGTCTCCGGTGCTTTAGTTGGTTCAATCGAACCAACTAAAGCACCGATATCAGCTGTCGTTGCCCAACCCTAACCCTGCTCGTTGCCGCTCCCGCTGCTCGTCGCTCCCGCTGCTCGCCGCTGCCGCTGTCGCCGCTCTCGCTGCCTCCTTACACTCCCGCTCCCGCTGCCGCTGCCGCTGTCACTTCCTCTTTTCTCAGTCAGCACCCCCTTACACTCCTCTTCTTTCTTCTCCTTCTGTATACTGTTAACAGTATATAGTATATTGTTAACAGTATACTAATAATAGTATTTGTATTTATTAGATTAATAATATATTATTTTGATTTTGTATCTTAGATTTTCTTAATTTAATAGCATATTTTTATTTAAAATTTTAAATAATTATATTTATTAATTATATTATATATTTTTATATTTTAGCGCCTCGCTTCGCTTGGGCGAGCGCCTAGCGCCTCGAGCGTTTTTGGACCTTGGCGCCTAGCGCTTTTTAAATCACTGCTAGAATATAAATGAGTTTGACTCACACTGAGATGTATAGATCATCATGTGAATCCCTCATGATACTTATAATAGTCAAGAACTTTATAATCATATAATTTAAGAATTTCCTTGGCAACATTATTGAACCTAAATTCATTAATAAAATAAAAAAATTGCAGCAAATTACCCTCCCCCCATATGAGAGAGGCGAGAGCACAGGAAGAAAAGTGAAAAAAAGAATGAAAAACATAAGCATTTTGTTATTCCTCCCCAGTACATTTAATAATTTTGAAGTTGGCAACTGTCACTCAAAGAACTTCAATAGGATCAAGAGAGAAACCGTTATGTTGAAAATTCTTTCTACCCAAATATTCCAAGAAGTCGTTGGTAAAGTAATAGATGTTTTAGCCATTTAGGAATAGCTAGAAATTAGGAGAGAGGTTCACATAATCAAAGCTTATCTAATGAACGATGGAGGAAAGATATACCCCAGCTCAACTAAAAGGGGGTCTGAATATCTTTCTCAAAACTAAAGAGAAAAATGAAGTGGTTGATGATCTCCATGGTGATCTTATAGAAGCCACAATGCTAGGCGTACTTTGATTGAACTAAGGAGAGTAATGTTCCGAGTGGTATAGAAGAAGTACATTGTGTTGAGATGTTCCCTCAAGTTGCTCAAGGTATAATATCATAGTTATCTAGAACATGGAATGTTTAGAGATCATCACATGTATATCATAACAAGAAAAAACACTTACTGGTTGTGGTAGATTGAAGAACAGATTAGTTGATTAATTACCTACAATCGTGGTCTGCAATCTTCATTGTATCTTTTATTAAGATTGCTTCTACACTAGATAAGATATCCACCTTACCAAAGTATAGAATTTAACTGCCAAAGCCCTGAACAAACTTTACTAACAATTATATAGCCAAATATTCTTTCATTTTGTATGTTAAGTACTAGAATTGATAGCCACATATATCTTTTCCAGAGTCTTACTCTTACAAATCGTAAGTTCAAACTATTTGGGTTCGACAACATAGATCATTTTTCACAATTTAGATCTGTAAAAAATTATATATTTAGTTAAGTTAAGAGTATTTAAATCTTTATTTATAGTTTCTATTAAAGTTTGTTTATGTCTACCTCTACCTCTCGTCATACCACTTCAAATAATCATTTCACCTCTTCTGACTATTGCATTTGTAAGTCTACTAAAACATGTTCATACCATTTTAAATGATTCTTCTCATTTTATTCTCTTTCGAAGAGATACCTAATTATTCATAAATAAAAATATTTCTTTTCATATCTTTCCTAGTAACTCCGCACATCTACCTTAATGTTCTCATCTCTGTAATATAACTTTTTTTGTATATCAGTTTTGAACCACCCAATATTCACATCCATAAAGCATTGATATTAGTCATAGAACTATTTTATATTTTTTTTCTTTTTATCTTAAAAATACCCGATGATCATACAAGACTCCTAACCAAGGTCTGCCATACCAAAGTGTACCGCCCATACCGGGCGGTACATACCGGTCCGACAGGTTACTGGTACGCGGACCGCCCGATACCGCTACAGTGCTACAGTACTATACTGTAGCACTGCTACAGTATGAAAAAAGTATAAAATTGTTCGGTACACCAGGGTGTACCGCTCGGTACGCCCTGATGTACCGCCCGATACACTGGTACCGTACCATACCAAGCCCGGGTCGAAACGCCGGTACAGTACGGTACGGCGAACCTTGCTCCTAACACCCCTCACCATTTTAACCCTCTAGTTTTTAAATCTATAAATAATATCTTTATCAATCAATCTATCTTGTTGAATAATAATTAATCTAAGATATTAAAGTTTTTATTTAAAGAAACTTTTTGTCTATCCAACTTAACTATATTCTCTTGTCTATTCCTAGTATTAATCCTACTTAATCTAAAACCTTTAATTTTTAAGGATTAACTCCACAACTTAAGTTTAGAATTAGTTTCATTTAAAAACCTCATCAACTAAGATAATATTATCAACAAATGACATACACCAAAAGGGCTATCTTGCAAATAACTTGTAAGTTCATCCATTATACTAATAGGAATCTATATAGTTCTAAGTTCTAACACCAGTAGCTATATTATCATATATATATCCTTAGTAACATCAAATAAGTAGTTGATACATGGTATGCAATTTCAAATGGTACTGCTCGGTACGGGCGGTACGTACCGGTCCGACAGCATACCGATACGCGGACCCTCACTACCGGACGGACCATGCTACACTGCTACAGTAAGAGGAAATCGCTTGGTAAGCCCTGGTGTACCGCTCGATACGCCGATACCGTACTATACCGAGCCAACCTCGAAACATCGGTACAGTACGGTATTACATACCTTGAGTTGATACATCTTTCTTTCTAAAGCCCATCATAATAAATCTATACAAACTATATTGTAGGGTTTCTCTAAATCGATAAAATCATATATAAATCTTTCTTTTTCTTTCAATATTTTTTCATTAATTATCTTAATAGATAAATAGCTTCTATTATTGGTCTTCTCAGCATAAAATCAACCTGATTTTTAAAGATATTTGTTTCAAATATTATCCTATTTTTGATAATTCGTTTCCAAAGTTTCATAACATAAGTCATGATTTTAATTTCTCTATAATTAGAATAGTATTATATATCATACTTAGTCTTTTAAATTTGCACTAGAAAGCTCTTTCTTCTTTCATTAAGTATCTTTCTGAATCGAATAATTTTGCTAAATAAGCTAGTTAACCAAGCTATTCCCCATTTACCTCAACAAGAATACTATTAGGTTTTACACTCTTAGCTATTTTTATCTTTTTTTGACGTCTTTTGCTTCACTAGCTTTAATTTACAGACAAATGTATGATTATTAAATCTACTACTATTATCTATCATTAAAACTAAGTCATTTATGGAATGTTCATTACATAATTTATAAAAATAACTTTCTTTGTCTTTCCTTAATTTCATTATCAGTAACAAGTATCCTTTTATCTTCATCTTTAATTCATCAAATATTATCTAAATGCTTATACTTTCTTTCCCTAGTCTTAGCAATTCGATATATATCTTTTTCTCCATCTTTAGTATCTAATTTGCTACAGTGCTACAGTACTCTCGGACCGGTAACAGTCGGTCCGCGTACCGACAACCTGTCGAACCGGTACATACCGCCCGTACCGGGCGGTACGACTCGATACGGCAGACCCTGGTTTTTCCTACCCCTTTAGTCTCTAGTAAGCAAATAATATTTATTCTTCTTATGATCAGTGTCTACCAATTCTAATCTCTTTCCTGAAAGTATTCTTATATTCCAAGTTGCTAACCTAATCCTATATTCTTGGACTAATTTTTTTACCCACAATAATCCTAAACAATAATAGGAACCTTTCCTATTTTGCACCACACCCTTGCCTATTTTGAACCCTTCCTAGAACCTTGCTCCTCATGTCCCTTAATCCCCATCATGCAAGAATAATCTAAGTCCTTGAATTTTTTATATATCAAGTAATATATAGTCCCAATTTATCTAACTATTCATGATCATTTGTTTTTACAGACATAAATAGTAAAGTAATGATGTGTTAAGTTCCCATGTAAAAACCAAGTTTACAAAAATAACAAAATTGTCTAAACAAAGCCAGCAGAAGGATATCAGAATGGGGTGCACCATGGCAAGAAAATTTTTAATTGCAACCTTAATGAAAAAGTTAGATTTATAAAAATAAACAAAACTTTGACTAAGAGGGAATATAACAGTGCAACAGATGAGCACCTCAAAACCAAGGATGAGGAAGAACTAGATGAAAAGACCTGCTATTAACACTGCCATAAGCTAATAATAGATTTTGGTCATTATAAGCAGTACCTTTCTCAAATATTCAAGGACACTTGCACTGACTTTACATAAATCTGTACAAAGCTGAACACCTGCTATTAACACTCCATGATGCTTTTCCTTCAACAAAGAAGCAGCTGGACTCATTAAGTTTTCAGCCAAGTCCGAAACTTTTCTTATTATCCTGATAGAGCACAAGGCAGCCTATAAATCAACAAAACACCTCCAGTTAACTAAGAAAGAAGGCTGTTTAAATAGGACAAGTACTACATAAGCACTTGGGCACATAACTCAACTATAAGCACATAGCCTAAACTCATCCAAAGAAAAGTGTTTCATAATCATATCTAGTTAGGGAAACTGGTGGACATACTTCCAGGCTAAACAAAAAATTATTGTTATCACATTAACATGGAGACAAATTCTGTGTTTTGTATAAGAGTAAAATTTCTATTATCAATAAGAAGAGAAAAGATCAAGCATAATCATAAATTGTAAGAAAATCACAAACAGGTACAGCAGATCACTCAGAGATTGGGGTTATTTGCACTCTTCGTACAATTTAATATCAATGCTTCTGATATTTCTTCTTTATCTAAACTTGGTGGCAAATAATTGGGCCCAAAAAGAAGGCTCAGGATTTGCTTGAGGGTCAGTGTGATAGTTTATACTGGCAGCAAAGCAATGAACACACAAGCAGAAAGCTCAGAGGCAATTAGCTTGACTGATGCGGGCAGGTCTCATGGTCGTGCAAGTTTAGATGTATTAAATGATGGGCCGCAGAAGTTGGTGAGGTTATTGTCATTCATGCCATGTCGCATCAATGCAAGTAATAATAACCGGATGGAAAATAGCAAAGAAAGGCTACAGGGATGGAGCAAATGACTTCAAAAACATGATATCACAAGAACATGTTAGATAAACCAAGTATCACTGCACTAAAACACACCAAATAGCATGAATGGTATATGACTTTAAAGCACGTTTACCTTGTGGCATGGTACAATGGTGCAAAATGTTTTACACTGTAGCACTACATACTATTTATATGCAATTGATGATTTCCTTGGTCCCATCACAAACATAAGATCATCAAAATCAAACTGCATAACACTTCTACTAAATAGGCCAATACAAGCCAAAATACATGGAGAGAAAAAAGATATCCCAAAAACAATTCTCATAATGCAAAATAACCAAGTGTTCAATCAAATAGAATGCTCTCCTAAAAGATGCAAAAAATCCAGTCTCATTTGACAACTTGACTATCAGCATTCAGCATAGTTAAATTTACAAAGATACAAACATTAGCAATGAAGATAGTGTCAAAGTAAAATAAACGACATGATATAGTCAAGATCAACCATGAAAATTCAATTTTACCCAAAAAATCTACAAAATACCAGAGTAAGTTGAAATCCTATAAAACTTGCAGTAAATATTTTAGCTTAATCCATATTCTACATCTACCATACTTAATTCAAGCATGCCAAAGGTCTGGTCACCAAGGTCATGTGACCAGATAAGATTATTAAGATGGAATGCCAGGAAAAAAATGATGCTTGATATATATACATGCTCAATAAACTTATATGCAATACCATGAGATATACACATGATAAATAAACAAGCAGAAATGCTATGGCTTATCAGTCTAATATTACAGGTGAAAGAATCAGAACATGATCAACTATAACTTAACTTATAACTTTGATTGTCCTATTTAAAACAACTGAAGCTTTCCAATTTCTTAAGTCACTAAGCAAGCAGTTTGAAGAAAGTCTACATCCAAAATAAAGCTTTGATAATTGAAATTTAAGAGGACATAATACATCTTCCACTTGTCCCTTCTTTTATTCTACAATCTCAAACCATCCTTAAAGTCTAAAACAGAATGGTGCAGGAAATCAAGACATAAACATGCAAACCAAATGACAAAGATTAATACTCCAGTAAGCATGACTACAAATCCACATTATTGATTAGACTGTTTAATATTTATAGAGATAAAGATCTATTCTGAACATAGAAGATGATTTCATTTGTAGCATCTAGACAATGTCAGGAATTCAGAATTTATACATTTCAATAACCAGAATGGTACTTTTATAGTTTCAATGGAAGATAATCCAAATTATCATTCAAATCTACATTTATCCATATAACAATATGATAAAAAAGAATGATCACAGCAGGCACCTAAGTTCTTAGAATAATAAACAGCAGACATCAAGTAATTCACAGTCCAACAACTAAAATATGCAGAATATGAGTAGCAATTGGACTTTGGAAAAGCTTTGACTTCAAGTCAATCAGATTTTGCAAGCCTTCAACCATCTCAAGTCAATGTAGCCCAACAACCTTTAAAAAGGCAAAAAAATTCCTATCGTTTTTCCTGAACAATTTGCACATAAAAGCATAAGTGACACCATGAAAAACATGTGAAGATTGGTTATGGACGTATGGGTCTGTTGTGCAATGGCAGAAGTGATTCACTACCTGTGAGTGCCTGCCTTGAAATTTTTCTTTCTTTTTTTTTTTTGCTATTTTCAGGTAGATTATTTTGATTTTTAACTACTACTTCAGATTCAATTTGGAGTCATATTTCAAGTTGAATTCTTAAAATCTATATTGGTTATAGATGGGAAATTTTTGAGTTGTGTTCTTATCTGCGACATATTGTAATAGTTTCCTTGTAAAGAATTTATGGAATTCTGAAACTTCCGTTAAATAGTCTTTTCCCCCATAAATACATTAGTTTACTGTATATACGGCATATTTTAAGCCCCAGAGGACATGTCTTACTATCATAGTCAAATATTTCATTGTTTGAGATTTATTCTCCTCCACTTGGAGAAAAACCTGAGAGTGGGGTCGTTCAATCACTTCCACAGCAAAGTGATGTGATCTACCACTACCATCTCTCATTATTCCACAGTGATGTATCCTCAACTAAAACTGATGCAATATTTTACAAAATAGAGAAAAAATGGGAGATACTAACAACAAAATGTTTTCATCTTTGATCTGCAAATTTAGAGTTGATTTGAAGACTAGAGAATTCGAATATATTATCAACCAAGGTTCGCCATGCCGTCCTACACCAGGTGGTACATATTGGTCCGATAGGGGACCATCATGATAGTCGCCCTATACCAGGCGGTCCATAATAGGGGACCCCGTATCTGACGATATAAGGTCTGTACTGATCGTTACCGATGAAAGGCTAAGATTTGTTGAATTAAAATGGTCTATTTGACCGTTTGAACCAGACCTAAGGGTTTTTAAACCGTTTCTATCCCCTCGTTCACTCCCCTTTCACTCTCTCAATCTCTTTCTCACTCACATCTTTCTCTCATTCTCACATTTGCATTCTCTTAAACTCAATAAAGCTGCGATGTATGGATTGAATCAAGTTTAGGAGGTTAATTTGGGAGGATTAACTCCTAAGTTAGAGGAAGAACACTATAATCAAAGGTATATATTTTTCTAGATTTTTGTTGATTTATGAGATAATTAAGCCTATTATATGTTATCAATGTCTAATATGTTATTTGACATATTTATGATGGTAGAATAAGGTTAATTAGGGAGTAATTAAGGCCTTTAATGTTGTGATTAGTGTGCTTAGTGTCGATTCAATCAAAATTAGACACTATAACCAAGATGATCCTTTACTTGATGAAGCGAGAGATCCTTTACATCCTTCGCGTTTTATCACCGAGGCAATAGAAGAAGAGGAAGCACATCCTCAGTAGGAGGAGGATCCCTCTTAGTCAAAGCATGGCAAAAGGAGCCGGACAACATCAAGTCAAACTAATCAAGGAATCAGAGACACCCAACCATCACAATCGTCAGCCCAACATGCAAAGGCAAAGGGGAAGGCAGTAGCATCAGTTGTACCACTAAAAAGAATCGAGTTAAGAGACAAGGCACCTTCTCAGTTGCATTGAGCAACCCACTCGATCCATAGACATGATAGCAACGTGGATGGCAATGCATCAACCAACAATAGCGACGACATTGGGGAGTCGATAGTCCTATCTATACAGTTTGAGAGTGATGTATGGACCAAGGAGCAGTATTTTACGCATACCACCGAAGATTTAGATCATGGAGATCAACGAGATACTGATCAAGTTTATACATAGAAGGGGAAGGGGGAGGTAGTGTATGATTTTAAGCAAATGTGATAGAGCCCAAGGTTCGCAATACCGTACCGTACTAGTATTTCGACCTGGGCTCGGTACCGGTACGGTACGGTGTACCGAGCGGTACACCCAGGTGCACCGAGCACTGTAACAGTGCTACTGCGCAGGGCTACAGTGTACCGGTGCACTGTAGCCCTGCGCAGTGCAGTGCTACAGTGCACTATTGCAGTGCACTGTATCACTGCTACAGTGCGGACCGGTACCGGGCGGTCCGCGTACCGCTGGCCTGTCGGACCGGTACGTACCACCCGTACCGGGCGGTACGATTCGGTATGGCAGACCCTGATAGAGCCTACATAACGTAGACATAAAGTGGAGCTCGTCGTATTTCTAGCCATCATATTATGGAAAATCTTATGACCAATAGAAATACAGTAATAGTTGGCCATTCTTCTCTAAGCAACAATAGGGTAATAAATCTTATGATACAAAGCAGTAGATCAGTGACGAAAGTATAAGTTTCGACATTCTCCAATCTCCACACCAATACATATCACAATCGTACTTGCCTCAAGAGCCACCTTGGACACGTGTGGTTCACGACGATCAGACTACGACCATCACCACATTAATGCACCAATGGCATATGGTGTATCAGTGTACTATATCGTGGGATCAATTTTAAGATTGGATCCATCAAACATATCATATTGATATACGGATACATAAGAATCGAGGACCCCGATCCAGCACCCATGGAATCCCGTCATTCTTTTTTATAATAAAACTAAGTTATATTCATCGAGTGATCCATTTATTACTTCATTCATTTGAATCTTAAAGTTTAACTTGAAATCTAAAAATTCAAATTATTTCTTTTTAGATAATTCAATGTCAACGGAAGGATGATCCAAAACATGCCACAAAGTTACTCCTCAAAGTTCGAAAAGATATATGTCATTATTCTTTCCTAAATTAGAATATTTTTGTTGAAATTATACTAAATTTACATTTATTTCCAACTTTAAAACCCTAATATAAGTTTTTTTTTATTTTTCAGGTAATTTTAGTGTAATTTTTGGCCTTTTTTCTATGCTACGGGGCGGCGTTGGTTCGGACCGGTAAAGCAAACCCGGCTATCAAGTATCAACAACATGTTTTCAACTTTGATTTTAATGCCTACCTCAGAAGTATCTCCTAGAGGCCCAAACAAACCCCGAATCAGTGTAATCAAGTCATGACAACATGTTGAAACTTTCAGCCTGCTAAAACTGCATTACACAACCACAGACCAGCAGCTGCTCAGCCTTTTTAGGCAGCCCCAATAGCTAACCCAGTGTTGCCAAAGGCACTAAATACCAAAAGAAACCAGGATTCTAAAATTGTGGAGATGCTAGATGCTTGTTTGGGTGCTCACCCAAGCAAAGCAAGGTGCTTACCTTACAAAAATTATAAAAAAATAAGGATAAAGATCACTAGAAAGAAGAACTTCAATTAAATATGAATTGTGTCATTATATATGCAAATGATTCCCACTAAAACATCAAAATACATGTATCTAACCATATATAGACCACTCAATTGACAAAATGATAATACAAATTTGTTCATATATAAATGACAAAACAAAAGTAATTTAAACATCTGCCAGTCCAAGAATCCAAGAGCTCTAATAATCATCAAGGTCTGCATCATCATCAGATGTTGGTGCATCATGAATTAGAGTTATATTGAGAATAAGAAAGACAAGACCAACTTGGTATGCATGTACAATCTTGGTAATTGTACAAGGAACTTATCATCGGCATCAAAAATTATAAGGTCCCTATACATCATTTCATGTTTTCATGTAGCATACAGTAGCCGTATACAATCATATAGGTTTTCTTACTACCAATCATTTTAGAGAGAAAAATCAGTCAATTTTCAGCAATGGACTAGTGACGATGAGAGATCGGTCATGATGGTCAATCAGCAGCCTAGGCAAAAGGGGATCACAAGCGGGAAGGAGTGGAATATTAAGTGGGTGAGTGGGTTTAAGTTGGACCTAACAGAACCACATTGGTTCGATGGGCTCAGGCTCACAAGCAGCACATCATGTTCATGAATGCATGTGTGGGCTATGTTGGATCAAACACATAGGCAGGGCATCAGATTCATGGGCTCAGGTTAAGTCGATTTCAGCTCTGCAGGCAGGGCATCGAGTAGGGTGGAGGTTGGTCAAGATGCATTGGCATGCACATCGGGTTGGGTGAGCTGAACTGTTGGGGCTACCATTGGTTTCTTGAAACTAAGAGGAAGACATTTTAACCAAGAACTGAGATGCTCGCTTAAGCAGCACCCAGTCCAAAGTGCCTCATGAGCGCTTTGATGTGCTCAAACGTTGCCTCATTTTGCCTTGTCCGAGCACCTAGGGGAGTGCCCAAGTGCCTTTTTACAACACTAAGCTTAACAACCATCAAAACATCTTCATCTATTCATGCAAGAAGTAAAGTAAGTATACTTCAAGTTTCAGTGTGATCAGATGCCTATTCAACAATGAGATCAGTTGTTTCAGGCTTTCAGTATCTGCAGTTGACAAGTAATAGCAACAAAAAGGAAATCTTGTGCAACAATTTCGAAAGATTGGTTCCATGGCAGATCCATCAATTTATTATTGTAACACAGAAAACATCATGAAGCTCCTCATAATGCTTTTCTTCTTCACAGATCCATAGCCTTTGTCAACATGTGAGGATGAATGAAGCAACAATATCGTTCAAGAAAGTGATGCCACAACAATAGTGCCCCAACCTTCCAACTCAGGAACATTGTTAGTTTGACGGGTGGGGAGTTGTTATAGAATAGCCAAATCATGCACTATCCATTGTAAAGACACCATTTTGCACAAGGACCTTTCAAACAGATTTTTCTTATATATAATTATTAAAAGGCCAAACCAAGTGAATGAGACTCTCACCAATATGAGATGCAAGGAAGATAAGATGTAACAGCCTTACCGCTATACCGAGAGGATATTTCTAGGACTCTAACACTTACCTCAATAAATATTTTGCAATTATTATGTATTCTAATTCATATTTTTAGCAGTGATTTTTATCAATATTTGAATTATAATTTAAGCTGTATTTTTATTTGTGAGTCCTATCTAAATTTGGGATAGTCTTAAACCATTAGGAGTGTGTTTAGAGAGTTATAGACATACCTGAATAGGATTTTGTGGGATTCTATAATTTCCAAAATAGAAATTCTTTTCTCATATGGAATATTGCAATCCGAAAGGCTATGCCTTTGTTTTAGCAAAGAAGAAAAAGCATAGGACAATAATCCAAGATGCACATCAGTGCCATATAGCACTAGAAAAAAGCCTTTTGAGTAGTTGCATTCAAATCTTTCAATCACACATAAAAACTCATTCCATCAAGTTGTGCACACAGTTTAAATAGAAAAATTAACAGAGAGAAAGGACGCACCTTTTTCTTGATAGTTTGGTCTCTACTTAAAAGTAGCCTTTCCACTTCAGGTGCAAGGTCCATTGCCATTTCTGCAGAACATATGTTCCCTAAAGCACAAAGAGCAAGACCTACAATATATTGGTTTGAGTGATTGAGATCTCTGCCTGTGTCAAGTTTAACAGAGGCAAACATTTTTAAAAGCAGAATGCAATCCGTGATAGAGATATCAAACAGATTAATCACATAATAAACCATATAACGAAAGAACTGATGGATACTGTTTCAAAGAATTTGTAACCAGCATAAGAACTTCCTGTCTTTCATCAAGAAGCAGCATAAGGCCCAAATAGCCAATTCGTTTTTCAGGAAAGTCAACAGCAGCTATCAGTTTGAGACATTCCAATTGACCAAAATGAGTAGGATAACCGAGCATGTGAATAAACATAAGTTTTGCAAGATTACGGTGCCTATAAAATTGATCATTTTCACTAATTGCAGAACGTATAGCAGCACATTCCTTTCTCACAACAGCACGCTCTTCTGCAGCAGTTTTGCAAGCACGTATAGCTCGAATCATATCCCTGCAACACAAGTTTTAGCATGTGCAAGAAAAAAATCAATCCTACACAAATTAAATCAGAAAAGGATCAAGGATTTTAATTTTGGGTACTGGACTTGAATTAGTCCTGACCCAGACCAGTGTGGGTCTGAACTGTACCGACATACCATTTGAGGGTACCACGATCCATATCGAGTTTCAGATAAAGTCTCAAAAAAAAAAAGGATGAAAAGACAAAACAAGGTTATTGCTGGTACATCCTATACCAGACTTGAACAATCTGGTTTACCCTGGCCCACATGCCGGTAAGTAAGCAAGCATCGGTAAATAAATACAGTCGATACCGAACTATACCATATGGTGTAGTAAACCTTAAAACAAATTATTTTTAATCCCAAAAGTCATTGCTAAATTGACAATTCAAAACAAAGATCACGATTTTCTTGTTCATAATATGAAAAACATAAATAAGAAAGAATTAATGGAGACAACAACTGCCAGAATAAGTTGTACCATAAAAGAAAGTGACAAAGTTTTCCATTCTCCTTACATTGAATTGGTGCCTAACATGATAAATATGCAAAAGGAGTGCTCTTGAACCATGTTAATCGCTGGGCCTAACCATGTCCTTTCATATGCATCAAATCACTTTAATCATTTCACAACCGCAAAGAATTTTCCGCGACACGTGAACAGGGGTTGCATTTCGATCAACTGACTGCCACGCCCATTCGTCGGATTAAAGGAGACGAAATTAAGATGATACGAATGAGGCGAGCGCATTACAACAAGAAGCGAAAGGAGGAAGGACCGAGAGTTTAAGGGAAGCGAACGGCGAAAAGAGATGGCAGCGCACCTCAACCGCGTCGGCGAGGAGAATGGATTCATGGTGAAGTCCGCCACGATTCCGGATCACGAGAAGGGGAGGTTGCGAGGGATGCAATGAAAGGAGGGAGGGGTTGGGATCTGAGAAGAAACGATGGTATATTGTTGTGGCCAATTGTTTATGTTTATTTACTATTACTGGTTATTCTCTTTTCTTTTTCTTTTTTTGTTCCTTTGGCGAAATTGCATATATAATAATATCGCAACAAATTAGTTATTGAATATTTTGTCCTCGAAATTTATGTTTAAGTATATACTGAGAGCATATATCTCCGTATAGTTAGTTAATCTCCGTTGTCGTTTGACTATTATAATAGAGATAATAAAGTTTTAATTGACATAAGTGGCCTTTGAAAACACCATCACCACAGCATTCTGATGGTAAGAATATTAAGGATGTTTTAGATTATTTTATTTATTTATACTTTAAATTCACTATGGTGACTGACATTTATATCTTTTAGAAACTCAATTTTGCTATTAAGATGATAATAAGAATGCAAAGGACATCCCAAATTTTTTTCGTATTTTTTTTATATATTTATAATTCAAACTAATTAATCTGAGTGTATTTGACATATATCAATGTCGATAAGGAACAATTTAAAAAAGATCTTCATCAAACACCTAACATAATGAAATCGGACTAAGCAAGATTTGTGTGGCTCAAATCAAAATAATTTCTCTCACATCTATTTAGTGGTTGAATATTTTTCAATCTATCAACTATTAGATTTTTACCAACTAAATCTCACTACTTGTAATTTATAATAAAATTTGCCTCTATCCACAAATACTAATCTCACCTATGGACGACTAATTCAAGGTTATAAGAGATTGTTTCAGTAAGTTATTGGAAAACCATTTGGGAATCTGAATAGTTTCCCTTGTTGCACTTGCAAAAGCATGTCATATCTATTCAAGATCTACAGCTGTATCAGTTAGAACTAAATGCCCTGATGCATTTAGTTCTTGGATTTTCTAATTGTATGGATTGGTTTGAAGTTGACTTTGGCAGACAACATTTCAGCTTAACATACCTCAGGCTAAATGAGATAAATAGCTCACAATGCTTTTGTAATTTTAGATTTGTTGTAGTCAGAAGTGGATAGATTTTTCCAGTTTATACTAGTTACAAGTTTGTATCAGTTCTGTCCAATTTTGAGAATTTGCAACTTTAATATCCGCAGAATCATTCGTACAAAATTCCCACCCCCAAACAGTCATTTTGAGTATAGATATTATTTGAGTTTTCCAATAGCTAGATGCAGTTTAGGATCAGGTAAGGACATTTGGGGAAGAACAAACTCAGTCAAATTGCATTGCCAATTTGTTTGGCATCCTTGTTTTAAGAATCAGGCCTTCAGAGAGTTGGTAAGATAAGGCTATGTGAAATAGATGAAGCAACAAGAGCACTGAACTACAAATTTACAAAACCAATTTGAGAAATTAGATTTCTCTTACAAAACTAAGGAAGAAACTTCTTCTTTGAAATTTCGACAAGTGGTGCTGTATTTCTTGGTCCTTCCTCATTTATAGACATGTAAAAGGGAAGAGACCATATATATAAACTAAAAGTGAATTTTTCATGGAAGACAAGGGTAAAAAAAAAAATTGCAGTGACCATTTAGTAGTCGCCATAACTGATGTAATGATTTCGGTAGCGCACACCGTACTGCTCAAACATGGGATCCCCATAATTCACAGCCTTCATCTCCACTGCCCTCCGCTTGCTATCTGACTCCTGAACTGCTCCAAAAACAATCTCATTAGTCATCATTTCGCAGCTCTGCTCATAATAAGTCTCAGTGCCCGATGAGAACTGCCGGTTCCATTGAAGGTGATGCTGTTGATGTACTTGCTGTTTCTGCTGCTGTGGCATCAGATAAGGTGGTGCATGCCGGATGTGGTGGATCTTCTCTGGTTCTTTTGACATGAATGCATAAGTCTTGCGAGGTGTGGGAATCTCATCATCTGGGATGGCTAAGCTCCCTGGCACTGACCGAGTGTTTGCCCTCTGCTGCTGCTGCTGATGATGATGATGATATTTAGTCTTTGACCTCTTTCTGAAGATTGGGAACATTGCACCGAAGATTTCTGCTATTGCCAACAAAAGTTTACCAATTAAGCTGAAGAGACCTTCTTCGTCCATGTGCACTGCTTCATCTCCAGTAGGGATAAGTGGTGATCTTATAGATGGTTTAATTGGTTTCTGGTACGGAGACATGCTTGCTTTTGTGAGAGTTTGATGTTCCTATACAAAATCCTTGCACCTCAGTTAAAAAAAGACAACCAAATTCTTCGGGTACAATAAGCATGATTTCTTTAGTACTTCTTTTTCTAAATTCCTAGATTTCTTTTAATTGAACACAACTTACTGAAATTTGTTTCAGTTCAGGATGCAATATAAAGTCGTGACGTTCTCAACGTATTTTAATTCACTATAAATCAGATAGAGAGACCATACAATAAGCATTGTCATCAAGAAATCTGTATTGTCACAAAAAAATCTATTCTTTATGAGCCTATCTAAAGTTTAGATTCTAAACAAAGTTCAAAATGTTTAATGGACAAAGGAATCAGATTATGAAAATTTATGGAGTAGTAAATTTTTCGAAGAAGAACATATTTAAAATATAAAAATAAAAAATGCCAAGGGAGACTACTTGAACAGCTGCAAGATATGCAAATTGAACCTTACTAATTAAGTTTCTAAAAGAAATCAGATAAGCATTGACAAGGGGTGAAGTCAGCAACTGATATTTTTAGAGGGATAAAAAAAGTATTATTTAGAATTTTATAATATGTAGTTTTCATTTATCTAAATATTAATATAAAATTTTATAAAGTACTAATCTAGTGCAAAAGATATAAAATTTAATCCATCTTAAATAATGTATGAACTAAAGTATCAAAAAATGTATTTCTTTCTAGGTGTTAATTACAATTACTACAGTCTTATCATCTTCAGCTGTTGACGTTCAATCAAAATATTTGCATCGTTTTATTTTATTTTTTCTTTTTATGCTTTTTGCTAACTAATCTGATTATATATAATGCTTTCACCATTTTTTTTATTATGAGATAGGAGCACAAGATTAGGCTTTAAAAGAAGGGAGAAAAAATCTAATCGGATAAAGTTTTTCCATGCTTCGGATGAGGAATTGCTAAACTACACAAACTTTTAACATGGTTAGTTTAGACCAACTACTCTATTAAAATTTCTGCTGTAAGTTAAATCAAGATTATACAGAAAATTTTCCCTTGCTTGCCTTCCTCTCTCACTTACCTTGTCTTGCTCTCTCCATGTAGAACAAACTGTCTCACACACCTCTTAACACTAACTGTCTTTCACCTACAGCACTGTGAACCTTAATGCGCCCACACACTAGCACTCCAGTACTGCTTTTAAGCTGTTATAAACCACTCGCACCACCCTGCATGGTCATTCTTACAAATTACAAGCACAGCTGCTCACCATGGCCACATATAAAGCAACTTTCTAGGAATTCTGAAGCTTAATAAATCACAGACTACATAATAGTGGCAACTGTAAACAAACTTTCAGGTCAAGATGAAATATTTTCATATTTATGACACCCTCATTTTCCGCTAATAAGTAAGTTTCAATCAATCAGACTCAAGTGTGATGTGCAATAGAAGCTACATTAATTTCAATAGATTGAGCATTTGTAAATGATCGAGAGTATTTGCTAAAAAGTAGCCTAAGGAAATGATCGATTTAGTAAAACATGTCTATTATGTGGAACCACTCACATTTTGGTTAGAGACCATTGTTCCCAACCGCCTCTGGAGTAAAGCAAGCATGTAACCGAAGAATCCAGCAGCAAGTAGCACAGCAGTTCCTATATTGGCATATAAGACAAGAATTAGTATATTTCAGAAAATGTCAAAGCAGAGAACCTATAAGCCATATATCAAGGTATCAAGATCTTGACGTTGTTGATTCTAAGACACTGATACTTCTCTATTTTAACAGAAATTAGAATCAAAATTGTTGGCTGATGGTAAAATCACAAGACAAACCCAGAGGGAAACCAGTTTCATATTGGTGTGCACAATCATCAAAGTTAAGCTGAATCTCCCTGATTGCCTGATTTCCCCTGTCTACAACTAGAAGAGAGCAGCTACTAGCAATGTAAATGACTTCAAAATCATTAGAAAACTTTGCATCTTCACTAGGCCCATCCAAATGCCCTCCTCTGCTCCATTTTCCCCCTGCAATTGTTGTGACCCCTGCACAAATACAAATTCATAGACAAAGAATATCAACTTGGGGATGCCTCTGTAGTGCTTGTTGCATGAACACATCCACAAGTATAATAGTTTGCTCTGAGAAGAATAGACAACCTCTCAGTACAGCTCCTTAATTTTAATTAACAAGAATGGGAAAGTATTGATATATTACCGTTATAACGAAATAAAAAGTATACTATTTAACCTTACGCTAGATTCAAGCTCTTTTCACAAAAAATTTCTGACAAACCATATTCTAGTTGTATATTATAGTTCCTTATCCTAAATGAAAACACTAACAAGCTGATCCAGCAACATTGTTTTGCTTCTCCAAATCTACTTTTATTTTGCTTCCTACATAAAACAACTCCCAACATCAAAAAATCCTTGTCTCTCTTTAAATAAGTTTGAACCAAGTCCACTATATCTTCTTCTATTTAAAACTATTCCTCAAAAACTTATCCAGATTACAGAAATATTATCCAGTATCAAAGGGAAATTCTTATGACTGAACAAAAATTTCTTGAGCAAAGAAAAGAATATCCAAGGAATACCAATCCCTTCATAAATTGATGATAGGAAATCATTAACCATGTCAATATACTTTTGGTCCCAGTTTATGCTCACAGCATTGGAACTATTTAACATGGTTAAAATCTGACCAGATCCAATCCGCCAAACAATCTGACTAGCCCAATTGCGTAATATTATATCTCAAAACTTGTTTTCAATCTAGAATATAATATCAAGGCTGAATGTGATTGCTTTCCTTCAATAATCAAATTCATGCTTCCTACATTAGCCACTACATCACTAGCTATTTTGGTTTCATCTGAAATCATTCTCCCTCTTTACTATTTCATTCTTTGCTCCTATCAGGATGAGATATATCTTACAACTGACAAATAGTATTGACAGACAACATAATATTACTCCATTAGTGAGATGGTTCATGGAATCATGAAGTCAGGAGTACTATCACTAATCAAGATCAATGCATTTCTAGTTGACACATTATATGAAATCAGATGAATTCTGATGTACTATATATGTTAGTTTGTCAAGAGAAATTTTCCATCAAATCTACAATGAGCTTTCAAAATTCTACCCTAACCCATAAAATTTATTATGCTTCTATCGATTGTAATTTATGCCTTTTCTCTTACCTGCATCACTAATTTTCCTGATTGCCATGTTCATTGTGTCCGCGACATATATATTTCCCCTTTCGTCAACAGTAAAGCCCTTTGGATGGTTCATTCTTGCTTCACATGGTCTTCCATCAATATGACCAACATAACCTTCTGGAGAACCAGCAATAAGCTTAGGTCTGCTATCTGCATTTGTCAACGTAATGTATGACGAGGATCATCTTAGGAACTCAGGACATGTATAAGCAGCCAAACAAAAACAAAAAAGGAAAAGAAGATTAAATTCTTTTCACCATCAAAATTTTAACATGTAATCTATAAGCACTTGGGATGGAACAGCAAGTTCAAATGAATATTAGCATCATATTCAGAAAATTGTAGCTTAATAGGGTGAAACTGCTGCTAGCGATCATCAGATTGATAGGTCAAACCGAACTTAAATATCTTTTGTTTTAATACTCATGATGTAAAAGGATATTCCAAAAGTTGGTATTAGATTAGCACCTATAAATGACGAAAGTCGAATCATACTAACAATATAAATTAAGAATTAAGAATCATAGATAACCTATCTATCACCCAAGAAATTTAACAAAATAAGAGATGTAAGCATCTAAATTTATAAAAGGATGTTGATATCCTAAGAACAAACCTAGCTAGAATAAAGCAAACAAAACGTTGAGTGTGAAGCAGCATGGGCCACTTAGTCCACTGAACAATAAATTAGATCCACAAAAGACTGGAATGCACATCAATCAAACATTTTGAAAACTGCAAAAATAATAAACTCAAAAAAGTCAGATACATCCACCATGTTGCAGTTCATTCAACATCTCAAGAAAACCACATGAAAACTTGTCTCATGGAAGAATGATCCAATGTGGTTATGAAACCCCAATTGATGGTAATATTACTGCTTAAATTCCAGGCTGCTGCAATCAACTCAATACGAATTGCAAAGGACACTCAAAAAGTTCATCGGGCAGACATTTCAACCGCTAAGAAAGTATGTCAGTTCCCAGTAAATGAGGCAAAAAAAACAGCTCACATCTCGACAAAGGAAGCGGAAACCGGTACAAATTGCTGTTGACGGAATCAAGAAGCAGCAGCTCGCCACTCTGCGTCATCTCGACCGAGTAGGGTTCGATCCCGAGTTTACTACCGTCGAACACCGTCTGCACAGTGTACCCACTCTCGAATTTCATCAGTGGGCGGTGACCAGAGACTGCTGCAGTAAATGCAAGCGAATCGAATCAGCCATATATTGAGGGAAACAAAAGGAATCAAGGTTGAAGAGGCTATACCAGTCTTCGTAGTAGATTTCAGAGACCAGAACCTCTTCAAGAGGGCAGAGGCAGCATCGGAGACAGCTACACCGACGATCTCTGCCAGCACCACAACACGAAAGAATGAGTTGGCAATGCAGTATAAACAGGCAAACCAAGACCAAACAATAGACCAAGAAGAACACCAACTTGCAGGTGAAGCAGCTGAAGCTGAGCTAAACCCACTCGATAAGATGAGTAGAAGAATGAGCATCCCGGACCCTCCTTTCATCTCCTTGTCCATCATGTCTCAGCTCTACCACAATGATCCAGAGAAGACACAAGAGGGAGAGGCAGAACTCACAGTACAGAATGGGAGCAGCCCAGCTGAAGGCAGTTCTTGGTTGGCCTCTTAATACATATGGAAAGCAAGAAGACGAAGAAGAACTCACAACCCTGCTGAGCTAAACTTGGTGTGAAGAATGGAACCTCCGGTGAGGCAAAGCAAAGCAAAGCAAAGAAAAGCACGGCAAAGCAGTGAGAGACAAGTAGGCTGGCGAGGACTGTGCAGTAGTGTTGTGAAGAGAACAAAAAGGGCATCACCTCAAATATCATGACAAAAACAAAATTTTGTTGAGATATTCTGGTGGTTAATACACAATTTGTTTATCATTAAATATTTATTAAAAACATTTTGTATATAATTTAATAAAATGAAAAAAAAATGGTTCATTTCTTTTTTTTTTTATGAAAGTAACTTGTAGTGCAGTGATCATCATTCTTAAGTAACAAAGTTATTTTTATATATAATTTTTTTATTAATAACATTCTTAGAATCTTAGTATTTGAGTATATGTATAACAATATTTTATATATAATTTAATAAAATAAAAAATAGGAGTTTTTTTTTTTTCTCAAAGTTACATATAGTGTGAGAGGAGGACTTAACTTAGAATCTATGAATACCTATAATCATAATTCTTAAGTAAAATTGCTTTATGCTGAACAACATGGGAAAAGTAATAAAAACCAAAGTTGGATGATCTCCAAACCTTTTTTTTTTTTTTTTCTGTTCACAATGATGGGTCATCAAATTGTTCACAAATTTCAAGATGATAGTGTGGTGTGGGGTTCACTCAGTGGCAGTTCCAACATCCTCCACTCTTTCTGCTTGTTCTCCTGTGGATATATTCCCCCTTCCACCTTCTTCCTTCACCTTTTTATCATTGCATGTGATATCTCCTTTGATTCCTCTTTTCCTTTGCACTATTAATTTCCATGTAAACAACATCTTTGGGACAAGATTGATTTCATTAATCAAATGTCTTGGTTGAACTTTGTTTGTTTGCTCCAGTTGCAACTTGCAAGTTGCACACAGTTCTATGGTCTTGTCTTTGTGGTTCAGATGTGGTCTTGGGAAAACTTTGCCATAATTTAAGGTTAGCTTGTTTGAAGGAGGGAGAGGATGAAGGTTTGCCGGTTGTGAGCATGGGAATTATTATACGCTTTCACACGGAAATCGGTACTGGGTGACAGTGTATTTTTTAAAAGTTTTATAAAAAAATATTAAGTTTTAGACCAAATTATATTATTTTTAAATTATTTAAAAAAATAATATAATTGGGTCAAAAAAAAAATGATGAAACCAAGAAGAAAAAGAAGTCCGTCAAAGCTTCAGCACTTGCTTTCTTTTCTTTAGTTTAATATATCCCTCGGTGTGAGGAATAGAGCCTCTCAGACGGTGAGGTAAAGCAAAGCATAAAAAAAGAAAGAGACAAGTAGGCTGGAGAGGACTGTGGAAGGTTTTAGGATAAGACATTTGTTTCAGAATTTTTCCCTCTGATGTCATGACAAATATTAAAAATTTAGTTATCATTTTTGTTGAGATATCTTGGAGTTTAATGCATTATTACACAATTAATTCTATTTAGTATTTGAGTATGTATAAAACATTTTATATATAATTTAATAAAATGAAAAAAATAGTTTATTTCTTTCTTCTTTTTTTTCTCAAAGTTACTCATAATGTAGAGTTATCTGGTGTGGAAGGAGAGCATAGCTTAGAATCATCATTGTTAAGTAAAAAACGCTTCACGTATTTTACACTAAGCAAAACATGGGAAAAGTAACCACACAAAAAAAAAGAAGCAAAATTGGAGGAGCTCTACTTGTTTTTCTATTTTGCCTCTTTTTCTAAGCCGTCAATTTTTAACATAATATAATTTTTTTTTTTAAATCTCATCTCTGTTAAGATGTTTTAATGGTTAGAAATTTTTATATTGTTGATGCTGTCTAATTTTTGAGTCAGTATAAAAATATTTTATATGCTGTTTAATATTTTTATGTTGTTGAAGGAGAGCATAGCTTAGAATCATCATTGTTAAGTGAAAAACGCTTCAGGTATTTTACACTAAGCAAAACATGGGAAAAGTAACCACACACAAAAAAAAGAAGCAAAATTGGAGGAGCTCTACTTGTTTTTCTATTTTGCCTCTTTTTCTAGGCCGTCAATTTTTAACATAATATATATATATATATATATATATATATATATATATATTTTAAATCTCATCTTTGTTAAGATGGTTTAATGGTTAGAAATTTTTGTATTGTTGATGTTGTCTAATTTTTGAGTCAGTATAAAAATATTTTATATGTTGTTTAATAACATGAAAAAAATAGTGAAAAGATATTTAATTTTTCTCAAAGTTAATTGCAGTGGTGGAGGTGATGTGGTGTGGAAGGACTTAACTTAGAATCTATGAGTACCAAAGATCATAATTCTTAAGTAAATTTAATTTACACTAAGCAGTAGTGAAAAATAGTGAAAATTATGTTAGATTTTGTAGTAATTTATAATGGGATAAGATATATAATAGAATTAATTAGATTCTGACGATATATATTGTTCTACTGTTTATGCTATTATGATTTATATTTATATTTTAATATTTAAATTAATATTTTAATAATATTTTGGAATAATAAAATAAACCTTTAAAATTAAGCGTTTCTTACTCTACAAATACTTATGTATCTCAAAATCATACAACAAACCTATAATATATATATATATATATATAGTGTCCTTAGAATTTTCTCAAATAGATTTAGTTAAAGAAATCTTTAAGATTTAGTGAATGTACAAGAGATATTCAACTTAAGTATTGACTAACTCAAAAGTTCTCTTCCTTCTATTTTATTATTTTTATAAATATACAAGTTAGTTTCTGGATTTGGGTTTTATTCTCGATTGTCTTTTGTCCTGATCTATTCTTTACTCTTTTATGGATAAATAAAAAAAGAATTGATAGTTCAAAGTTTGGATCAGATTCCCTTTATCAAATTATACGTTTGAGAACATGAGTTGACGTCATATCTTGTTTAGGATTAGAATTTTGTCACACTTTTTGTAAGGTAAGACGATATGCATTCCCTAGATTTTATAATATATATATATAGATATATATATTTATTTATTGACTGATATGGTGTATATAGCATAGTAATTGCTCCAAGAACAGAGATCTTCCAACCATCGTCAGTTGCCACGGACTAACATTACAACTACGATTTCAGCCAATGTGGAGCTCCCAATTGTAGATAAATGACTCATATTCAGTAACATTATTATTTCTCGAGTCATACAACGGAGTAATGAAGAAATACCAAGTGATGGGAAAATACATCATTTTGTATAGGACTAGCGTGATGGGAGTTGATGACAGATCATTTCATCATTAATTCTTCTAGTGATATTATGTTTAAATTTTAGTGATGATTTTATGCATGGTTATATA